AAATCGCTCAGTAAAGAGTTCATTGTCCATAAGGAGGGTTTGGTTAAAAATGATACCAGATCCTTGGGCTGGGGAGCTGGCTCGGTGGTCTAAGCGCCTGCCTGGCAAGCTCACGGACCTGAGTTCTATCCCTGGTACCACATGCCGAGCTGGCCCTAGAACCGGGCGTGGTGCCACATACCTATAACCCTGGCACTGGGGAGGCTAAAACAGAAGGATCACTATTTCGAGCTGCGCAGTGAGACCCTGTATCAAATAAATGAATAAAAATTAAAAAATAATAATATCAGATCCTTAAGTAGAAGATCCTTAAGTGGAAAACTATCTGTAAAATATATATTTGATGTCCTTGGTATAAATGTTCTTAAGTAAAAAATACCCAAGACATGTTAAGTTTTAAAAGAATGACAAATTATTTAGTACAGGTTGAATGTTCCCTCTCTGAAATGCTTAGAACTGGAAATATTTTCAGGTTGCAGGTTTTTTTCAGATGTTGGAATATTTGCATATGCAGCTATCATGGGGCTGGGACCCAAGTCTAAACCTGAAATTAATTTATTTCATATATACCTTACACATATAGCCCAAAGGTAAGTATTACAATATTTTTAATAATTTTGTGCATGAAAGAAAGTTTCACAGTATAGCATTTTCCACTGAAGCATCATACTAGTGCCCAAAAAGTTTGGAATTTGGAGTAGTTCAGATTTTTGGAGAAGGCTTACTCAACTTCCATTTGTGTGGAAGAAGAGAAATTTAAGTGTGTGTGTGTGTGTGTGTGTGTGTGTGTGTGTGTGTATTGACTTTAATATGCATTTGAGAATATCTGGAAAGGCAAACAAAAACCCAGTAAGAATGGTTACATACTGAGGAAGGTGAATTGGGCAAGTAGGGAATTGGATGGTGGTTTTTAATATCTTTTTATACTTCCTCATTGAGAAACATTACTGTTTAAGCAAAGCATGTATTAAAACTTATTTAAGTGGTTAAAAGTTTTTAGGCACCCTTTTTTTTTTTTTTTTTCCTTTTTGGTATCAGAGATCGAACTCAATACCTTGAACTTGTCAGGCAGGCTGTTACGTTGCTGAGCTATATACCTGGCTTTAGGCACCCTTTTTAAGTAGTGGAAAAAAAAATCAATTCTATTTTATTCAGTAGTTCTTAACCAAAAGGCAGGCCGCAGTCGTGAGTAAAAGGATATACTGAAACTTGTTGAAGACAGCAAGTTGCTTGTCCTATAATGTTTCCCAGAGCCAGGAGTTCGCAGATTCTATTCCCCGTGGTCTAGTTTTGCGTGTTCTTTTCTTTGTATTGCTGTAAATCGGTAAATGGATTTAGAAAGCTGACCATGTTCGTGTTACCGTCTAGCTTTGAAGGATGTTTGTTTTTTCCACATTCCTTTGTAGGTAGTAGTATTGTGGCATCCTTACCAGCCTGCGCAATGTGAGGAGCTCTCTCTTGCCCAACCGTAGCATCCATTGCTGATCAATGTCTCCATTTTAGTGTATTTTACAGATAAAAAAAAAAAAAAAGACCTGTGCATGCTCCGTGGTTACCACATCACCTTTATTCTTTGACTTCCTAGTCCTTAAATTGTCCTGTGCAGTAAGATTTTTTGTTTTTGTTTTTGTATTTTAGGGAGGGGTCTACAGGGTGTTCAAGGTCTCACTACTAGATCGGACTTGGACTTGTAATGATTCTCCTTCCAAGAGCTGGGATTACAGGTGCGCGCCACCACGCCCAGTCTCATTGGCCGTCTCAGCATGCCCACCCCAGGGTTGGGGCCAGTACAGCAGGCCCAGGGATCCACAGCCCCACCCCTGCCCCTGCGCCTCCTTGCAGGTGCTTTAATTTGAGCTTTTTCCACTGGCCCAAGGTTTTTTGTTTTATTTGTTTTGTGGTACTGGGCATTGAATGTAGAGTCTTTGCACTGAGCTATACCCCCAGTCCAGCTCTTCTAAAAATTGTTTTATTGTAATACAGGGTCAAGATTGTGCTGAATCCCTAAATTAGCAAGGTGGGTCCCAGTTTCAGTTCTGCTCCCTCAGCCTCCCGGAGTGCTGGGATCACAGCTGTGCCACCACACTGCCTTCAGTGAGAGCTTTTGTCTCTACGGTGGTACTTCAGTTCATGAACTTAATTCTTTCCTCAACTCTGGTCCAAACTGAATTGGATGAGACCGGAATCAAATTACAAGAGTAATTGGTTTTAGATGACTTCCCAAAGCCAGGATCAAATAGTCGTAAGACATTTCCTTAGATTAAAAATGCACTCAAGTTTTGAAGCCTTTCTGTAGCCTTGATCACTTGTGCTTTACACTTAATTAGGTTGTTCTTCCGATGCACTAGAAGCAAAGCAAAGGGGAGACGATGGTGTGGCAGTGTTCCCTGGCAGGTAGGAATTACTCATCTGCTTTCGAGTCTGCTGTGCTTAAACCGTTTACTACAACATCTACTGAAAAGACACCGCAGTCCACAGAAGCCCATGGTCTTCATCAATGTGGCTCTGAATTAAAAAAAAAAAGAAAAAATGGAAATGGAAAGAAGCAGTCAATGCTCTAATTAGCTTCGTCTCCTTTTGTTCAATTGTTTGTACTTTTTCTTTTCTTAATTTCTTATACATTGCTCCAGTTTTTTTCTTCTTCCAATTTTATGTATATATCTGGTAATATGAATAGCTGGTTGTAAGACAATACCATATATTACAACAAATACTGTGAAATTCATATTACTTTGTTAAGTAAAATTCTGTATGAGTTGTTAAAAAATAAATAAATAAAAAATGTGGCTCTGAAAGAATTTTATTTAAGCAGGGTAGAACCTGATGAGACTATTCAGAGGACCACTTATTATAGATAGGTTTTTATGTTTCCTATTTCACTCATTCAGATATTTTCCAGCATATGAATTGTATTCAGCACTGTCCTACTTAAGGAAAAAAAAATAGCTCTTCTTGACGGACTTGGAATAAGCTAAATTCTTAAGCACGTAGAATGTCAGTGCGAGTCCTGTCGATAGCCAGTACGTGGGAGCTAGACAGGAAGTGATAGCTGCTACTTTGGCAAAGGTATGACGTAGACTTTGGTTTTCTGTTCCTCCAGTGAAATCTTCTCAAAGCCAGAAGTCACAGTAAGTGTAGTAAGTCAGTGTTCAGGTTTGGGGACAAGCTCGTCTTGAGAGAATGGTTTGCTTAAAGAGGATACCTTGTGGTCATTGGGTCATAGAAGGCACTTTGCTTTAGTCTGACTTTCACTCCAGCCTTGGAAAAGTTTGATCATGGACAGACAAGGAAGCAGGCACTAGAAGTTAAGAAATAAGGGCCCGAGGAGATAGCTCAGTTTGAATAAGTGCTTCGCACAAGGGCCTGAGTTCAATCCCCGGTTCCTCCAAAAAAAAAGTTAAGAAACTTGTTATTTTTTAGATGCAGAAATGTTTAGAAATAGCTGTTTATATTGTGCTTCCATTTTCTCTGAAAAAAGAGGGTGCTCTGGTTAGTCAGGTTGCATTAGTTCACATCACAGTTAATCATTTCGCTGTCCCTAGGATCCTGCTTCTACATCACATCCTGTCACCAGTGAGGCTCACACCTCTGAGCCATTTCCTCATCCTTCCAGCCAGCCGAGAAACCCATTCAAGGTACTGGACAAGAACCAAGAGCCAGCTGTTAGGCAACAGCCCATCAAAAGGGATGGTGAGAAAAAGGCAGCTGACAGGAAGCCCAGGGAAGAGGGAGGCCAGCTCTTGGATCACAAGAAGGTAGACAAGCCTGAATCTAAGTGCTCGATGGAGAAGGGTCTCTCCTCCAGCCTCGTGGTAAAGCAGAAGCAATCTGGAGTCCAAGAGAAAGAACAAGAGGAAAGAACAGAGCCGCAGCGTGCAGAGGAGGAGCCGGGAGGCACCGCATCCGAACAGTGCCAGGGAGCGGAGCAGAGGGCAGCCTCCGTGTCTCCTCAGGAGAAGTCTGATGGCAGAAGCCAAGAGGTGCAAAACAAATCAGACCTTTGGAGACGAAAGGAGACCCAGCTTTTGCCGGGCACTGTTCACAGCCAGAGCCCAGTGAGCCAACCCCGGCAAGGGGGGCACCTCAGCAGGGCTCACCTCAGGACCTGCAAGGCTGAGGGGCCAGAGGAGGTGGAGGGCGGCCCTGCTACACAGAACTTCCAGAAGAGGCGCCCCGAGGAGCATGTCCAGGCCCAGATGGGGGCCCGCGAGCCTGATCAGAAGGGACCAGCGGCACCAGGGCTTTCTCGGGGAGAGGCTGCCTCCAGCAGTGACGACAGCGAGGAGGATGATGAGGAGGATGACGACAGTGAGGAGGATGGCGCTGCCTTTGCCTCTGCTCCAGAGAGCCCTCTCCTCTTTGCCTCCCCGATGGACAAGGAAAAGGAGGAACATCTTCAACTCCCTGATCAAGGTGCACAAAGGAAAGTGCCTGCAGCCTCGGGGCTTTCCAGCAAGGTAGAGCCCTCCAGCGCGGCAGCCCAGCATGCGTACCTTGCTGCGCAGCTCAGACAAAAGAAGGTAACTCGTGGCTTGTGCTTTGTGTCTAAGAGCGGAGGATTGCTTGGTGCGCGCTGCTGGGAAGTCCTGTCAGAAGGCCTGTGGCAGCCGTGGGAAGGTTGTGCAGGTGGATGGTTAAGTTTATCCCTTTTCTGTTTATATTTTTAAGGGTTTATAAGCCAGCCGGGGTAAACGGGGAAGAAAAAGTCCAGTTTTTGCACACATAGTTTAAAGACCTTAATTTTAGTTTTAATGTGAAACAACTGGACAGGAACAACCTGTTTGATAGGATCTGTTTTTCAGAGCACATTGGCATCTGTGAACATCCACGCTCTTCCAGATAAGGGTGAGAAGTTACTAAAGCAGATCCAGGCACTGGAAGAAGCGCTTGGCACCCTGACCCTCTCCCCAGAGCAAGGTATGCCCTAGAACTCAGGGTTTTCTTCAACCTGACGAGAGACATTTTGATAAAGAATGCTGATTCGTTCACCACTCTGCTCTACTGTCTGCTTTTGTTCTTTCTTTTAAATTATACTTACAATTTATTTAAAAAAACTATTTTACAAAAAACTCTTTTGGGAACTACTGTTCTCTTTGCCGTTAAGTACCATTCAAACACTGTTCTCTGTGAAGCCTTCCCCAGCTTATGGGTGGGTGGGATGACCTCACCTCCACCCAGACAGCTCCTTTACTTGCGCTTCTCTACTTGAATAATGTTCTTTCCTCTTTTCTTGAGCAGGATCTAATGAGAAGAGTAACACTCAACCATCAAAACAGAGCGACCTCACCACTGGCCCTCCCCGAGTGGGGCATGCCCAGCCCCTCCTGGGTAGAGATCTGCAGCCTCTGGGCTCTCTAGGACAGAAGGCAGCGTGTGCGGGAGCTGCTGCAGGACCCTGTCAGGGCCCTGGAGGTAGGATCCCGGCTCCTGGGAGCTAAGTGCTAACATGTCTTCACTCCTGAGAAGGGAGGGGCCGTGCTACAGTTGGAAGTCGTAGCTCTTTGTACAGTGTTGCTTAGATCCCTGTCAGAGGCTGGGTCTGCCTTGGGCTGTTTTATGTTCACCAGTCAGACCAGTGGCTGACACAGAACTCACCTGTCAGCACCTGTGAATGAAAACTCTAGCAAATATTGTCAGGTAGGTAGATCAGTACGTAACAGCTTTATTCTTTCTCTGCGGAGGAGTAGGTGTGGGTAAGTGTGTGCTATCGCAGGGCGAAGAGCGGTGTGAGGGACAGCCAGTAACGCGCAGCCCCGCAGAGAGCAGTGACTCTAGACGGCGAGGCGTCCCCAGTGAAGATGCCCAGACAACTTTGGATGCAGAGGGAAGACATAGGTTAATCGTGCCATCTTACGCCTGGCGGGTGTGCCAGTCTGGGGACAGGAGTGAGGTGGCCTGACAGGAGCTAGAAAAGCCGGTTTTCTCCCAATGAAGAACTGCTAGAGATGTAAAAAGTTAAAGAACAGTGTTGTTAGCAAAGATGTAAGAAATAAATGTGGAACCACTTGACGCTAAGGCTGCTCCAGAAGGGAATGAGAAAACGCGCTTGCTCACGTGTCGCAGGAGGCTTGGCTGCTCAGGCTCTTGAGAACGTGGCCGTGTTACTGTATTCTCACAAAATAATGGTGACCGAGTCACTTAGGCAGCCACTGAACTATGTTAAATTATTATGGTAAAATACATTGGTATATTGTGGAAATAATTTTATTAAGATAATTTTATTTATTTATTTTTTATTTTTTGTATTTAGTACAGGGCCTCACTACACAGATCGGACTCGTAGTGGTGCTCCTGTTTTCAGCCTCTCAAGCATTGGGATTACGGGCATGCATGCACCACTACTCCAGTCTCAGTTGTCCTCTCAGCATGCCCAGGGGGTGAGGCCAGCAGGGCATGCGGGGATCTAACTCTGGTCCCTATATCTGCCTAAGCAGGTGCTTTTAGTCCGCTGAGCTATGTGACTGGCCAACAAGATAGTTTTAAAACATCTTACATTTAATTGGTTTTCATTTGTCCAGAAAATTTTTACTTGGAATGCTTTATCCCTAAAATTGCAAAGAATCAAGGTATCTGTTGTTGTTAGCTTCTTTTTTTTTTTTTTTTTTTTTTTTTTTTTTTTCCTGGTATCCTGGTATCAGGAATTGAACTTGGGACCTTGTGCTTGCCAGTTAGACACTTATACCGCTGAGCTATCTCCCCAAAATTAATTTTTTAGAAAAGTTGTGTAGAGGTGAAGGACTAATGGTGCTGCATTGTGATGTTCAGCCGGTGACCTGAACACTGGGGGCCTCTCTTTCTATGTACTCAGACTTTAGCGGATGATTTGTACCCTGGCCTTTTTCTCTTGCTGGCTTTTTTTCTTTCCACTGCAGGATCATTTCTCCCTAAAATATTGGGTGGTGTTACTTTTTCTCTGCCAACTTTTCAAAGCTGAAAAATAAATTGTCAAAAATATCCAGAGTTGGACTAGGGGTATAGCTCGGTGGTAAAGTGCTTGCCTTGCGTGTGCGCAGCCATGCCTGATTTCTGTTGCCAGCACTGGAGAAATACAAAAGGATCAGGAAGGGAGGGAGGGAGGAGAAAAGAAGGAGGAGAAAGGAGAGACACAGACAGAGACAGGGGGGCTTTTATCTTTGCATTATACTTTCTATTATTTTGTCCAATATTATAGTTATTGTTTATGTGTTTAAAAACACAAACAGAATGAGAATAGAGAAAGTGTGTGAGGCCAGGCGAGCCTGGAGGCAAGGATTTTTAGTCAGTGAAGACCCAGCATTTGATAGGTACTTCGTTGCTGCTTTGCGGCTGTAGCCAAGCCGTAGTCCTGGTGCTGTCCCCGAGTAACACCTCTTTGTTTGCAGGCCAGAGAAAACAAGATCACCATTACGCAGTGTGGAGAGTCACAAGCGAAGCCATCGATGAGTTGCATCGATCCTTGGAGTCCTGTCCAGGGGAGACAGCGGTGGCAGAAGATCCGGCTGGCTTGAAGGTGAGCCAGGAGGGAGGGACGGTTCAGAGCACCCATCGCGGTGCTGGAGTCCCTGGAGAGAATGAACACTGCAAAGCAAAGTCGAGCGTCCGCGTTTCTGTAGCACAGAAGGATGCTTTTGTTGTTTGGTGGGCCACGAGGCAGCCGAAGCACTATTCAGATGGGCTGGGTAGGGTGAAGGTACGTATGCGGCATGTGTAAAATGATTAGAAAATACCTAAGACAGAGGCAGAGGGTGCCTTGTATTGTACGATAGCTGTATGCAAAGTGTAAAGGGGATTAAAAATAAAGGCAGTGTCACTACAAGTCAGAACTTGCCTGCCTACTCTGTATAGGTCCTTTTTTAAAAAATTTTTTATTAATTTTATTGAGAAACAAAAAACAATGAGACAGTTTCAAAACAGATTAGTAGTATAGTTACAGTAATTAATACATTGCATATTGTTGTCTTCGTAGTAGTTATGCATAGTACAAGATGCAGACGTGATATCCTGTCCGAACATTATTAGTACAAATCTTTCTTCTCATTGAATTAAGAGAAAGTAGCTGTATGTTTATCCTATTTTGTATACACAGATACAAAATGGTCCTTCATTTATATCCCTTTTTTTGTTTAGTTTTGTCAGAGATGGGTATTCCATTGCCATTTAAATATTGTAGGTGCGTGAATTCAGCAAAATAATCCAATATAGTCTGGTAGTCCATAATAGTAGTGGGTTATCCATAGGACTGGCAATGTCAGAAGTTGTTGACTTGAGCCTTTTACAGCTCAGCATATTAATATGGCTTTACTTTTTTAGCCATTCTGTGCAGGTCTTTAGCAGAGAACAGAAATAAAGCAGCAGGGAGGAGGAGTGGTGGGCAGAGGGGGCATATTGCTCAGGGATGTGAGTGTGAGGCGCCAGGCCCGGAGGAACAGGGTCGGTAGGGCTCCTTGCTGTGGAGCCTGGCGTAGATGAAGGAACTTGGATTTGAATAGCTCCATATGGATGATGGGATCGCAGTCACATTTTGAGCGGGGTTATTTATGAAGTGTGGTTTTTCTCACCGAGTAAGGTGAACTGGAGTACACAGACGTGAGGAGGGCCCTCCAGTTACAGGGCAGTTGCAGTCTGTGACCAGCGACACAGGCAGGGAGGTTGAGTAAACAGAGGAGGGGCAAAATTAGATAACTAGGACAAGCCAGCAGCTTGGCCAGCGAAAGTAGGGTACGCAGGTGGCAGTCTTGGTTGCAAGAGGTAGGAGCCGATTTCAGATAATTGTTTTTCTGTTTTTACTGCTTTTGCTAAGAGAAACTAGGACTCGCGCTCACTGCAGGCGTGAGCCACCTGATAAACAGTGAACATCAGACACAAGCCCCAGCTGCACCTTGGCTGCGTCGGTGCACGAGCAGCTTATAGGACAGCGAGAGTGTTAGAGCGGCCGCTTATAGAAGATAAGGGCACAGAGTGCGTGTAACCGGGACCGGGAGTGGCTCTTCATCAGGAGCTCAGGCTTAACGTGTGGGTATTGCCTTTGTCAGGTCCCTCTGCTGCTGCACCAGAAGCAGGCGTTAGCCTGGTTACTGTGGCGGGAGAGCCAGAAGCCACAGGGAGGGATTCTGGGTAAGTCTGATGCTATAGTTAGGAGCCAAGAACTATGGAATGCTTAGGCATTGCGCTGAATGTATTGTTTTATCCAGTCATTTCCTCACTCTATAAGCAGGTACTGTGATTCTGCATTTTGCGGTTGAGGAAACTCAGCTGTAGAAATGGTAAGCAGCTTGCACAAAAGTATTCCGCTGCAGCAGAAGACTGACAGTAGTTTCTTCTGTGGTGTCCCCCAAAAGAAGGAGTGGAGTGCCAGGCTGCAGTCCAAGGTCCAGGAGAATTGGTCATCGCCATGTTCGGAAGCAGTCATGGCTTCTTCGCTTTAAGCGCTGGAGAAAACCAATGCTGTCCCCAGGCTCAGTGATGCGATCGTAGGACTCAGCATGTAGTCATCCTACGGGAGTGATTTATTACGGTGAAGGAGTACAGATGACAGCAAAAGGAAAGGCACATGGGGTGAAGTCCCGGGAAGCCTGCCACAGGCTGTGACAGCCTTCTTCTGGTGGAGTCACACGAGTTGCTCTCAGGTCCCGGCAGCGGGCACAGTAGCACAGGTGCAATGTTTCCAACCAGAGACGTTTGTTGGAGACTTAGTGCTCAGAGTGTTTACTGGGGACAGGGCCCAGGGGCCTCTTCAGCCTGGCATGGACCAAATTCCAGACACCCAGAAAGAAAGCAGCATTAGGCATAAATGGCAGCGATTACGTGAGTGGTTTACGCAGAGTAGCCCCTTCTCGGCTGGGACGCCATGAGAACCCTGCTTGTGTGTGCGTCCTAGGCAGCTTCCGGGGCCACCTTTGTGCACAGATGGTAGAAAGGTCAGCTGAGAGGCTAGCTCTGTGGGCTTTCTCAGCACATCAGCAGTGCCAGGAGTGAGTTCTAGCCCACGCTGTTTTTCTTCCGTTCTGTCAGAATGATTGTTTTGAGTAAATGTAGTGGCTGGAGGTCTGAGCCTCAGCGTCAGGACCTGACGAAATTAGGAAGCAGCGCTGTGTGGGGTGCGAAGCGTGTGCTAGGTAAGGTCCACGGCTGTACAGTGACAGTGTCTAAGGAGTGCTGGCTTACAGCCTTCTTTGATGAAGAAGGTAGAGACATGGAGGACTGTTCGGAGTCTTGGGTAGTAGCACCAGTAAACCAGGTGGTGGGACGTGCCTGCTGGGCTTTTCTGCTTTTGGAGGGAATGGATGAAAAGTCTATGTAACATTGTCAAACAGCGGTAGATGTCATTGAGCACAGTGTTTGTGTGGGTGGGTGGGTGCATGGGTGGGTGGGTATGTGGTACTAGGGCTCAAACTTAGGACCTTTCCCTTGCCAGGCAGGCGCTTATGCAGGCGCTTATGCCGCCGAGCTATCTCCCTGGCCCTAGCACAGCGTGGGATAGGGTAGTGGTGCAGTGTGGAGCCTAGAATAGGATCCAGTATTCTATGTGCCAAATGTTATAAGAATCAGTAAATGTCTGGCCTAGATTTCCAAAGAAATGGCAAAAGTCAGGGCTCATTTTAACAAGGAAGATAGAGAATCCATTAAGGGAGGCAAAAATAATGACAGGCGGGCAGGGGCACACGTGAATCATTCCTTATTGTGTTCTTCGTTTCCAGCGGATGACATGGGCTTAGGGAAAACCTTGACAATGATCGCGCTCATCCTGACCCAGAAGAATCAAGAGAAAAGCAAAGACAAAGGCGAAGTGGCTTTGACGTGGATTTCCAAAAATGGTAGATAAAAGCACCTAATGCCCTTTCCCGAATCCTTTGAGCCAACTGAGAGAGAACATTTTTGAACTGCCAAAGGACATCTTTCATTTTATTTAATTTAGAAAACCAGTATTAGACTACTTTTATCATTTCTGATGTTGAGCATGCAGAGCAGAGGTGATTGGTTGTTTCCTTTTAATATAAATGCAGCTACATCTGTGCTTAGAAGATATTTGTGGAGTAAGCATACCGATTATTTTTGTTGATATTGAGAACAAACTCCTGGGTAGGTCCAGATTAACAAAATCTTTTTTTTTTTTGCGGAACTGAGAATTGAACTCAGGCCCTTGGCCTTGCCAGGGAAGCGCTTATTCCACTGAGCCATCTCCCCGGCCCCAACAAAATCTTTTTAAGGGAGGTCTGTCATGAGTTTGTATTTCAGCATCCACATTGGAATCTTATTTTTCATGTTTCTCAAATTCCAGATATTTCTAGATGATAATTACAGTCTTATCTTGACCTGTATATTTAAAGTACAGTAACTTTATCCATACTTAAACTTAGGCACTGCCGCTTGTATGGGGCCACGTACATGGGTGGGATAGTAGTAGTGTGAGGCCCTCTGCTCTCGGGACCTGTACTGACCACTGTCGTATGACCCTGGGTGGGCAGCACGTGGACGCACGCAGATGAGGTGTGATGGGGCCTGGCCCTAGAATAATAATACTGCCCTATGATAAACTAACAGGAAGCATTAGGAAACGGTCCAGCCTCCACCCCAGCCCCTCTGGAAGAGCGTTGCTTTCTCCGACTAAGATCCATGCTGCGTACTTTCTTTCGCCTGACTGCTTGCTGCTTACCTGGTGCTGGGAACCGAACCTGGGCCTCAGCACTAACTTGTATCCCCAGCCCTGATCTTGCTATGTTGCTAAATTGTGCAGGCTATGATCAAACTTGTGACCCTCCTGCTTCCACCTCCCACAGTACTGGGATGACAAGCAGGCTGCCACTGTTCCTGGATTCGAGCACTCTTAAAAGATAAATAAGTAATTTGGTTTTTAACACCATCTCTTCCATTTCCTAGTCTACCATCAGTTCTATGTAGGAATCAGAGCAACAGTTAAAAATACTGATTGAAGAAATAAAACCAGTCGAGAGAAAGAGGTAGAATTCTTAACAAAGTTAAAGGCTATTTAATGAATGTAACTAGGTATTGATTGATTTTTTTCTCCTCAAGACTCCTCTGTCTATACGTCCCATGGAACACTAATCGTCTGTCCTGCTTCCCTGATCCATCATTGGAAAAATGAGGTAGAGAAACGTGTGGACAGCAACAAACTCAGAGTCTATCTCTATCATGGGCCAAACCGGAATCCGCATGCCAAAGTGTAAGTGCGGGGGTGCTGTGTCTTGGGGTGTCGGGCACCTCATTCAGGAGCGCTGCTGAATTTCCCACTCACTCATTCTTCTTGTAATCAGGACCGTGATATGCGTGAAGACCAAAGGCAGATTTTCATTCTCATCACCCAACAGCCTTTGTCGTCTACAAAAACATACATCTTGAGATCACTTGTGCTGTTCTTTTGCTATGTCCTTGTCGTTGTCCTCTACAAAAACTGGCATGAGAGGCCTGAGTTGTCAGCCAGGTGGCAGCAGCATCCCCTGGATGAACTGGGTGGGGTGACGGTGCATACCCAGCATATCCACAATGGCAAGTGAGGCGACATCACAGCCTGGAGTTCTGATTCCAGAACTCACATTCCTTTCCTCGTAGTGTGAATGGAGCCTCCCATCCCAGTCTCATAGAGCGTCTTGATAAAATTCTAATGCTTGCTTGCTCTAGACTAGAGAGATCATGGGTAAAGTGGGTACATGTGTAAGTATACACACGTGTGTACCCATCTCTTCATGGCAGTGTTTATATACAAACCATGTAAGCAGTTTTAGACTCAGGAATTTAGGATGATTCGCAGTCGGAGGTTTGGCTCAGTGGTGAATATTTGTGTAGCATGAAGGAAGGTCTGGTTTGATCCCCAGTTCCAAAACAAGAGGGAGGAAGTTAGTGGGGAGGCAGGGAGAACTATTGGCCCTAATTGTAAAGGAAGGGGGAAAGGCTATAGCAGATTTTACTCCTACTCAGTGCCTTTTTGTTTTTGTTTTTGTTTTTGGATACTGGGGATTGCACTCAGGTCTGGTGCATGCAAATCAAGTGCTTACCACTGAGCTACACCCCCCAGCCCAGTCTTCTGGTTTTAAAGAAATTGTTTTATGTTCCTAATTGTGATGTGATTCGCTGAAGTGAATATTTTCGTGTTGTAATCATGCATAAGGTCAAAGTTTTGTCTACCTATAAATAATCTGTCTTTCACCTTTAATATTAAAGATATCTTATAAAGACCAGGGCAGCAGCCTTTCAAGAAAAAAATTGCCAGGTTGGTGACCCTCGCTCGGTCTTATGCCACAACTCTTGTAACGATTCATCATTTCAGCAGGCAAAAGGACCCGGGCGCCAACAGCAGGCCTGCGGACTTTCTCTGCAGAGAATACTTTGAGTTGTCTTTCTTCTGAACTTTTTAAAGAAGTAAATTAGGTCTCACTTGATTAATACTTTGAAGATAACTAGTTTGATATTCAGAATATAGTAGTTGATTGTTGGAATCATTCTCAATTATACTTTATCATGCTACATTAACTTATGAACAGGGCTGCCTCTGAGAATTAGGCATGTGCTATTTATCAAAAGTGTTTTACTGACAGCCTCTCAAGTATACTATGTTAATCTGCTTCAGAATAATACTTACACTGTTATTGTCTTTACATGGAAAGAGGGCTGGCAAGGTAAACAGAAAGCTCACAGTGTGTATTTTTATGCCCATAGCTGAATTAATGGGGTTACACCAGTCCACCGCAGTAGAGAGAAATGCTGTGAGGATTTGTTTCTTCTCTGAGATTTTAATAGTATTCTTCTCAAATCATGATTGACTGTATGGGAACAGGGAAGATGTTCTAGCTATGGTGAGCAGACTAAAAATGATCCGGGGAAAGAAATATGGAAGCCAAGTGGTAAAGGTTACCTCCCTAAAATTGTGTGTGCGTGTGTGTGCACGCACACACATGCAGGAGATAATCAAATCTTCTCTCTGTTCTTCCAGCTAAATAGATAAAATTTACCTCTAAAATTATGTGTGTTTTCATGGAGTAAGGGCGTGAGTTAATCCTGCTGTCTGTCCTTCCAGCCCTGGGCTATTTTATGAAGGTAGTAACCCTGTCTCTTGTCAGATTACACAGAGTGGGGGGCTTACTGTGTTCTTTGTGTGGTGTCTGCAGCCTCTCTACGTACGACGTCGTGATTACCACCTACAGCCTCGTGGCCAAGGAGATTCCCACAAAGAAGCAGGAGGAAGAGGCCCCAGGTGCAAACCTCAGTGTGGAGGTGAGGCTTTGGGTTGGGAGATAGAATTGAAGCCACACGTCACCTAACATCTTTTCATGGCCTCAGCGAGAGCAAAAGTACCTTCTATAAGGTCAGGGGTGTTCTACATGGTCCCCTGTGGACACTCTGCGGTTGTCGCCTGTTTCATGTCCTTCATCTCGTTGCAGCCACCCCAGAGGTGAAGGCTGATACTTGGTGCAGTGCTCAGCTGTCTTTTAGGACGAAAGTTAACTGCCCTGCACTTGTAATGGTGGTCAACACATGAGTATGGGACAACTACACTTGTTGCTGTGTTGAGCTTAAGAGTGTGTAGAGTGCCGAGGAGATAGCTCTGCACCAAGTGCCTGTCTGGCAAGTGCAAGGTCCAGAGTTCAGTACCAAAAAAAAAAAGTGTGTGTGTGGAGCGTATATACTCCCATGTCATTTTGTATATGTATTGTGCAGAATCAATATTGTCATACATAGTTTGGTATTAGATTATCATTCCTTGCCTCCTCTCTACTTCCTAGAAAAAAAAAAATTCAAATGCAAGAAGGCCCCAGCTTAAGAACATTTGAGTTGCAAACTTTCACAGGTGTGCTGTACAGACTTACCTTGTTGGCTTATGACTAATTGAATTTATGAGCATAATAGGATGACAGCCCAGAAGCCAGCGAGGAACTGTGAAAAACCCTGAGTGTTTGTGGGCAGATCTGTGATATAAAGACTTTATGGCATAATTATTATGGGGCTTCCCCCCACTGCTATGAAGATACGGTATTCTAAGAACTAAGCTAGGCTGGGGAGATGGCTCAGTGGAATAAGTGCTTCCCTGGCAAGCGCAAGGGCCTGAGTTCAATCCCCGGTTCCACAAAAAAAAAAAAAAAAAAAGAACTAAGCTTGTATATATGCTGTTACTTTTAGTATAACAGGATATCCAGAGAGGGGAAACCTAGAACCGGGTCTCCAGTTCCCAATTAATGCTGACTTCTTTTAATGGTGAACTCCACAAATTCCTGGGTAGCTCTTTGTTGCCTTCAGGATAGACTCCAGATTTATTTGTGTGCATACCAGGAGCACGGGGAGCCCACGTGGCCTGTGTGCCCTCCGGCTCACCAACCCTTGCGTCCTCGTGGCACCTCCTGCTCTGTCACTGATGGACTTCCAGTCCCTGTCGTGCTCTCTTATACTTTTGCCTTCTCTTGCTAAATGCAGTGCTTTGCTGCCACTTGTTTTTCCAGGTTATGTTTTTCTTTCATAACCTGCTTCAGGAATCCCTGGTGGGCTGCCCAGTAGCCTCTTGTAGCACTTGTGCTTACTTATTCCCAGCAACCCATTCGGCACATGTAGCACTCTCCTGTATGCCAGGCGCTGCTAGCTTGGGCACCACGGGTGCCACCGTGCAAGCAGCCGGTAGAGTCCCTCTGACATCTGTTGGGTAATCAAGTGTGGTTCACTGTATGTACCTCACGTTGCAGTTACTGTTTTTCCTTTGCTCTACTTTGAGCTCCTAGAGGGTAAGAATTGTCCCTTAGATGTACCTTAGAACTTCAGATGTAAAAGTAGATTTCTGGTAGATTTAGTATTTTATTGAGGAAGTACAATTGTAGGCTTATATCCATTGCTGAAGTGTGTTCTGAAAGAATAAATGAAATCTCAAATTAGAAAAACATGTTGCCATTAGTGGTCTTAAGCTTAAGGCCTGAGATATGCAAGTGACCTGCTCATTGGAACTTGTCGGGAGGTTTCTTTCAGTCTTGGTGTTTCAACTCCATTCTGTGTAATTGACCTAAGCAAACTGGAGGGTAAGAGCGAGTCCTGGATACTTGTTCGTTACACTGGTTTATCTCTTTGAGGAATGTACTTTCGCTGCTGTTGTTGGATTTCCCTTATGCTTCTTCCAGGGCTTCTCAACGCCTTTGCTGCAGATAGTTTGGGCTCGGATCATCCTGGATGAAGCGCACAGCGTGAAGAATCCCCGAGTGCAGACGTCCATTGCTGTGGGCAAGCTGCAGGCCCGGGCCCGCTGGGCTGTCACTGGAACCCCCATTCAGAACAACCTGTTGGATATGTATTCCCTGCTGAAGTGAGTAAACTCCTTGGGAGTGTGTGACTGAGCCCTGCCTGTAACCCTTGATTATTATTTCTTGTTTCATTATGAAGCTCTGAGGTGTGCCAAATGATCTTGTGCAGCAGATGGCAAGCCTGTCAGCCTTTAAAGAGCAAAAAAATTAATATTTATGAGAAAATATCTGTTGATTGACTGGCTGATAGAGGACTTTGATTATATCCAGCCTCTATTTATACAAAAATGTAGGACAGATTGAATAAAGGAAGCAGAAATCATCTTTCTTTCGTCTAATGAATGTCTTGGGCTATTTCTCCTTTAAAACATCTGGGCGAGGCTCAGGACTACAATTTATTTGAGGCAAACACAAAAGAATGTTGATTTAAAAATATATGCTTTTATTCAAAGTCAGCCCATAAAAGGCTATGGAATTTCTTTGCTGGCCTTTGAAGCTTCCAGAATAAATTCCAGCTCTCGGTTGTATGTCCTATTGTGACAGTGTAGATGTTGTTAATGGAGAAGTCACATTGTTAAAATGTGGTATTCATTATTGACATAGAACCTTTTGATCAGAGATTGGCTGTGAAATTCACTTTTTAAAATGATTGGATGACAGATACAAGAGTCTGATTGGTTTTCATCTTTTGTCTTTCTTTGAAACCTTTTTTCCATTCTCTCCCATATTTTTTCTTTTCTACTCTGTGTCCTTCCCGACAAAAAAAAGATTTCTCCGCTGTTCTCCATTTGATGACTTCAATCTGTGGAAGAGTCAGGTCGACAACGGTTCAAGGAAGGGAGGAGAGCGCTTGAGCATTTTAACCAAGAGCCTTCTGCTGAGGAGGATGAAAGACCAGCTGGACGCCTCTGGCAAGCCCTTGGTACTTGAGGCATTCTAAGGGGAGGCCCCGGGGAGGCGGGGTGATGAGTGCTGCCGGGTGCAAGGCCTCTGTTGTGCCTCAGGAGCCTCTGGGCCTCCCGTTTTCCCATGAGCAGGCTCCGAGTTTGGGACCTGGCCCGTGTTACTGAGTCCTGTCGTGCTGCACGCTGGCGCAGTCATTTTTCGAGAGCGTAGGCGTTGCTGTGGGGGGCTCCCTGCATCTGGGGAGTGTGCTCTGGCCGTCAGGTCGGTTTTACACCAGCTTCTTTTGGTCCTTACTCTTCCAGGTGACGCTGCCCCAGCGTGAATTTCAGCTTCACCGTTTAAAGCTTTCCAAAGATGAAGAGGCTGTGTACAATGTCTTCTTTGCAACGTCAAGGTGAGCGCAGTGAGGAAGCGCCTTCTCCCATGCATCGCTGTGGGCTTGGGAGTGGGTCAGGGCTGCTTTCCGTGAGCCGTGCAAGCCGTGCAGCCTCTCGCTGGAACCTTAAAAAGCTGCTCTCTCATTCTTCCCTGGATCCGAGATCCGCTTTCTCCTACTTCTGACCCCTCCTTTCCGATGTGGATTTGTTTGCTTTGTTTATTGATTTATAGTAAACCTCTTTCTCATTAGCGCTGGCCAACGCGTGCTATGAGCTTGGCGCCCCAGAGCGCTCTGCAGTCTGCCCCGGTGCTGCTGCGAGCGCAGTGACACAGGCCCCGGGGTCAGCCTGCTCGGTGCTGGTGACAATTCCATGCGCGCTTTCTCTCTTGACCCGAGGCAGATCAGCTCTGCAGTCCTATCTGAATAGATGTGAAAATGGAAAAACCCAAACTGAAAGAAGCCCCGATAATCCATTCCGTCGAGGTAAGCCAGGCGCACTCCGAAGTGCGTGTCACAACTGAAAGTGGGGGTTTGCACTTGGTAAGGTGGCAGAAACACAGGGTTAAGAATCGTAAGTATAAGGAGTTAACCAAGAACTCAAGCCAGAAGAAAGTAAACACAAGACCTAGCACAAGATCTAAACTTCCTTTTCATTGTTTCCTAAATCTACTTTTAGAAATACACATAGGAGCTAGGGAGATAACTCAGAGGTCTGAGCACCTGCCTGGTAAGTGCAAGGACTGGGCGCTACCCTTGCCCAGCCAGCCACCAAAACGGGGGGTGGTGGCGCATGCCTATAATCCCAGCACTGGGAAGGCTGAGACAGGAGGATCACTGTGAGTCTGAGCTGCGTAGCAAGACCCTGCACCAAATAAATAAATAAATAAATAAATAAATAAATAATTAAAACTAAACAAAAATACATGTAGGTCTATAAGGGAAACCAGTATTTGGTTGAGTTGTTATAGAAGTGAATTCTAGTTAAATTATTGAATCTGAAACAAGTTTAAGCTAGCTTCATTTAGTTGCCAGTCCCCCCAGATTTCTCTGTGTTAAATCCTGTACAATTCCCTGGGGTTTATCTTCTTTCTTGGAAGCAGTGCAGGGGTCTGGGTCTAGCGAGCTCCGGTGCCTTGTGGCCTCAGACTTGCAGAAAGCCAGCACCATCCACATCCTGTCCCAGCTTCTGCGGCTCCGCCAGTGCTGCTGTCATCTTTCTTTACTGAAGTCGGTAAGGAGAAGCCGTAGGGTGGCACCACAACTTCTGGTTCTTACAGTTGAGGTCTAGTCTCCTAGCTCAAGAGACATGGTTTGGGGTGGGTGTTTCTCTTTTGGTTTTTGGTAGGGTGAACAAGAAAGGGCTTATTTCACTTGATGTTACTCTCCCTTCGTGTTGATAACTTTCATGGCATTGGGAGGAATACACTTTTATTATTTATTTTAAATAAACTTTGTTTTAGAATGTGAAGTGACATTCTGATAAAAAGGAAACCACTTGTGAATGTCTGGGTATTTCAAATGTAGTAAAGCTAATTTAGTTGCTGTTGTCTAGTATTAGGGCTTTTAGGTCTGAATATGGGAACTCAAGTAGTTTTACAGATTGAAAAGTTGCCTTTACATTGGGTAGAGGCATACCCAAAATTAAGAGGCACGTTTGTTTCAGGAGCTGTAGTAATGTATTTTTGACTATCAGTAGCTTAATTAACTGAATTGTTCTAGTAGGGGGGAAAAAATAGAATGATCATGTAAATCTATATAGCAAATCTTTTTAAAATTCTATCATGTAGTTTATCTTTACGATAATGAGAAAACTTGTAAGATCACACGTAAAGCAGAAGTGTTTTGAGTGGTAACTGAGGAGAAATCACATGACATCTTTCCCTGTCAAATGTTAAATCATAACCTCACCGGCAAGTAATACAGCTTCTTGCTGTGCCTGTCCGACCGTTCCCATCGCTGTGCTCCATCCCCCAGGCCCTGGAGCCTGCAGAGCTCAAGAGCGAAGGCCTGGTCCTGTCCCTGGAGGAGCAGCTCAGTGCTCTGACCTTGTCCGAGCTCCACAACGCAGAGCCATCCCCCACGATTGCCCTTAATGGAACGTGCTTCAGGGTGGAGCTCTTCGAGGACACACGTGGGAGCACCAAGGTACTTCTGTCCCTCTGCTTCTGGTAGTGAGCTTGGCTTCTCCTGTTCTTCTGTGCTGGAGCCCTCATTTGCCCAAGCGAGTGCGGCCGTGGTGGCAGGGCTGGAAGGCTTAGACGGTGACTGCTGAGGTTCTCCCTCTAGTCTAAAGCCTCAGGGTATCACAAGGAACACGGAAGCTGTCTGACACAGTGGTCTTTCAGAGAGCGATCTGGGACAAGTCTGCCAGGTTTGTGCTAGCGATGATGTCTAAGCAAACAAGTGATTTATTGAGGGAAAGTTTAAAAGGAAAACCCCAAAGGCTAATCCCAGAGACCGTTATATATGCGAGTGCCGTTTGCTGCTCCGTGCTGAAAGGCTTCATCCCAGAGGATAGTTTGCTGTGCAGCGTCTGTCTCCATTAGTCCTTCTGTTTTTTGTCTTCAGAGCTTTGTAAGCTGGAGATTTCTGTTGGAGGCAGCTGCACCAAGCGGTAGCTGTGTCCTGCCTTTTCGCTGGCTTGAAACCTGCTGCACTGGCCTGCGTGCCTGAAAGTGGGGCTTGTTTCTACTAGGATCTTAAGCTACCAGTCCTAGCCTCCACCTCTTTTCTTCAGAGGCTTTTTAAAAAGTCATAAACTGGAAAGGAGGTCACTGCCAAGGAAATAGAATTATTTAAAGAAAGAAATGCTTCCTCTTAATTAAAATTTTAAAACATTTCCCTAGGTCTTTCCCACAAATAGCTGAAGAAAACGTAAGAGGAGTCCCATGTGTGGACTGAGTACATGCTCTAGAGCCTTCAGAGTTAGCTGTTATGGGAACACCTACGTTGCTAAGATTTGTGTTCCTTGTGTGACACTCAGGCAACATTTATTCACAAAACTTAACAGAATAAGCCCCTTCATATTAGTTTCAACGGCGTAAAGTTGTTTCCCGTGGGGAGAGAATAGTCTTTCTGGAACCTGACACCAGCCAGTGGACTGTGACTCTGGACCTCCCACTTCAGGCCCCTCAGAATCTCTTAGCTAGCTTTCTCCTGTGGGAATCACAGTGCTTGCACGCCCTCGAGTGACTAGGACACCTGGCATTTCAGTGTGTGCTCCACTGTTGACTAAAGGCAGGCAGCTCTAGGTCTGCCTCTCTCCCACACGGTCCTTGCCTGTAGCTGCCTGCATGGTTTTAAGCCTGCATTGCTGGAGCTCTGTTGGTTGCTCTACAAAGGCGGAGCGTGGTGCTTCTCAGAGTGCTGCTGAGGAAGCTGCTCCAGGACGGAACAGCCTTGCCAGCAGAGCAAGAACTGTGGTTGTTCCCCAGTAGCTGTAGGGACCAGTTTTATTACTCCTCCACCATTCTGGGCTTCGAGCTTTTGGGCTCATGGATGGTTTGAAAGTTCTTTTTTCATTTTAGAGGAATGAATCCAGCTGCTCCCCAAAGTTATGCCCTTGTGCTTTTACCAGCTGCAGCCATGTGGACTTGAATGCATTTTCAGGGGTGAAAACTCAGAGCCAACTTTTGCAGTTGCTCCTCAGTCTCAGCAGGTTCTCTTCAGCAGTGTTTGAAGCAGCCTTAAGTGGGTTAAGGTCTTTTACTTTCTTCTGCAAATGTTAGGCTAGCGCTTCATCCAGGCAGGTACTGAGACTGGAATACAGAAGTGAGATAGATACTGCTACCCTTGACCTCCTGGAGCATTGTCTCCAGCCCTGGAAGCAAGAGAGGACACTTCAGCAATTGACATCTTGCATCGTTGGGACACTTCGGCAATTGACATCTTGCATCTTTGGGATTCTGATAGTAAAAGCCAGAGGCTCTATATAGGACATATGCACTGGCCACCTAAATTGGACATGGAGGGCTGGGGGGCTGACATTAAAGTGACATTAAGCTGGCAGGGAAGGTGTTCTAAAGTAAAGAGAACAGAGCTGCCAGTGAGGAGGCAGGGCGTGGCTTCCTGGAAGAAGCCTTTGGTGTGGTTGGCATGCTGTTGGGGGAGGGCCTGGTGAGAGACAGGCAGAAGGAGAAAGTGGCAATCGGCAGCCAGGCTCCAGCTGGCCTTTTAAGGAGCTTGGGCCTTATGTTCAGTGGGAAGCCATGGAAGGGTGCAGCTCAGGGAGGGAAGCGACGCACTTGTGCCTTAGAAGTAGGTTTCTGGCCGCAGCAGTAGAGGTGGAGAAGAGAAGGGTCAGACTAGGTGGCATCCTGGAGACAGCATCAGTAATTCAGACAAGGGAAGCGGAGAAGTGTGGATTGCCTAAATTACATTAACGTAACCTTTTCCCAGATTTCATCTCTGTTGGCAGAATTGGAGGCAATCCAAAGAACCTCGGGGTCCCAAAAGAGGTAAATGTGTTATTTCATGATTGAAGCATTGCTTATAATTAAAAAAGGAAACTTGCTATTGCTAATACTTACCAAACAAGGCTTTTTATGTCAGGACATTGGGTTAAGCTTTGCAAAAAGAACTGAGGCTATAGCACAAATTCCCCATGATTTCTAATTAAAATATTTCTGACACAGTTTGCAAGGCCATCTCTGCAGGAGTGGAGGGAACAATGTGTAGAGTAGCAAATCACAGGAAGAAAGCAAGGGAGGGGCAGCAGCGTTGGGCAGGGAGCTGCAGCAGTGTGGTTGAGATGCTTGGAGACGGGTTCGTTTCCTCCTGAGTTATAGTCTGCGTGCATGTGGTGTATCTGCTTTTGTATATGTGAAGTTCTTTAATCTAAAATTTTAAAACTCTAAAAACATGACTTAGGGACTGCTCAGTACTAAAACATGACTACTCCCTATGTAACCCAGGCTGGCCTCAAACTCACAGTGATCTTGCCTCAGCCTCCCAAGGGCTGGGATAGAAGCATGCACTACCATGCCTGGCTTTGGTGTCCCTTCTCCTGCAGGACCACAGACATCTGCATGAGCACTAGACCTTCATGTACAAGGAGGCTGCAGCTGTTACTTTAATCTCCACCGTTTGTTTCTAATTTTATCTAGCACAAGATAAAAATAGAGTCTAGAAATAATTGGCAGGGGCTGGGGAGATGGCTCAGTGGAATAAGCGCTTCCTTGGTAAGCACAAGGGCCTGAGTCAATCCCTAATTCTGCCCCCCCCAAAAAAGAAAGTTAAAAAAAATAATAATTGGCAGTATTATAAACTTACAATTTGACCTAAGTGTGAGCTTGTACTAGCTTCATGGCTCCACAACAGAATAACTAACCTAAATCAGAAATGGTGGCACACAGCTCTAACCCCAGCACTCTGGGCACCAGAGGCAGGAGAACAAGTGAGAGCCGACCAGGCAACTTAGTGACTTGGTGAGACTGTGTCTCCAAGTGTAAAAGAGAGCGGCTGGGGATGGATGGGTAGCTCAGTGTGAGGGCCCTGTGTTAGCCCCCAGCACAGCAAGGAGCAAAACAGAACCGTACCAGGCTCCCGATAAAGGCAGATCTAACTCGGCACACAGCTCTGGAGGCTCACGTCTAAAGGGTCTGTAGCGCCTGTCACCAGCCCGGGACCACGCCTTTCTTTTACCCAGCAGGCTTTGGGACACTCATCCCAAGCATGGCAGTGAGCCCACATGTAGCAGGAGCCCCTTCCTTACCTGCATTGTGTAACTGATCCTCAGGTTAGCAGGGCCTGAGCTTGTTGAATCTGTTCGGGGTGGTTTTTTATTTTGTCCTGCTTTGCAGTGTCATCGTCTCTCAGTGGACCAGCATGCTGAAAGTGGTGGCGCTGCACCTTCAGAGGCACGGACTGTCTTACGCCACCATCGACGGCTCCGTCAGCCCCAAACAGAGGATGGACTTGGTAGAAGCCTTTAACCACTCCAGGGGCCCACAGGTATGAGCTGGCCACAGCGGAGCTTTACAGTAAGGACCCAGTTGTTGTTAGTTCCACAAAGAGCATTGTTATGATACAGACACTCACATGAATTCACAACCTTGATCCCTCCAAATGTTCAGAATTACTAGACATTTACCGAGGAACGCATCAAAGAGCACAAATATCTAAATGAAATAAAACAAGAGGACTAATGGGAGGCTTGGAACAGCTGGCTACAACCAGGAGAATCTTTCTGCAGAAGGCAAGCCTGGCAGGAAAGTTGCAGGGGTTTTTTGTTTTGTTTTTAATTGGTACAGGGTCTCACTACACAGCTTGGACTCGTAGTGATCCTCCTGTTTTCCCCAGCGCTGGGATTACAGGTGTGCAGTGTACACTACCATGCCTGGTCTTGGTGGCTGGCTCAGTGCGCCTGGGGGCGGGGCCAGTGTGGCACGAGGTACCAGGATCGAACCTTGGTCCCTAAGCAGGCGCTTAGTCCCCTGAGCTATCTCACCGGCCTTGAAGGGATTTTTATTTTATTTTTATTTTTGTTTTTCTTTTCTGGTACCAGGGCCTTGTGCTTGCCAAGCAGGCACTTATGCAAACGGAAGTTTCGATGAGGCAGTGTGGAAGGAAATGGAAGAACAGTCATCTAATTATTGATAATAAGGATTAAAGCTGGGGCTAAAGCTCAGTGACACCTGAACTATTTCACAAATTTTTGGAAATTTTTTCTTTGATACTGTGATGTCATTAAAGTGTTTGCTCAACATCTATGTGAGAAAATGTACATTTTTTATTTTAATATAACTATTTTAATGAAAAGGCAAAAAAAATAAAATAAAATAAAATAAAGCTCAGTGGAATGGCACCTGCCTGGCAGGTGCAAGGTTCTGAGTTCTATTCTTGATACCAAAAGAAGAAGGAAAAAAAGGATTTAGAAAACCTTAGATGAATGATTGGCAGACTTAGTACAACAATGAAGGGGCAGGAACTGAAGGAATATACAAAATCTGGCTAGAGGAAAGTTCATTGAACTGACCACCCCAGAGCTCTAAAATTAGAGTTCACGTATTTTGGTGTGCAGTCAGTTTTCAGAGATTGACTTCTAAAAAACTGAGAGGTGAGAAGTGATTCAGAAGTGAGGCGTGGGAGATGGCATCTTAATGTTTCAACACATGACCGCAGGAATAAAATGGATGGGAATGTGTTGCTTACCTGTTTTGACATTGGGCTTGAACCTGAAAATTACAGGAAGGTGCTGTCTTAGCTTTTCATTACTGAAACGAATACTTTGCATAGCCAGTTTATAAAAAGAAAAGGTTTATTTTGGCTCAGATTCTGAATGTTTCAGGCCATGATTAATTGGCCCTGTTGATTTGGGTCTGTGGCAGGGCAGCGCGTGATGGCAGGGGTTCCTGGTGGAGCAAAGCTGCTCACGTTGTGGCTGGGAAGTAGAAAAGAAGGAGAAAGGGCTGCTCCTGCTCTTCCCTTCAGGAGCATGCTCCCAGTGACCTGAAGACCTCCCAGGAGGCCCCTGTTTTAAAGGTTCCTCAGTATTTCGTGCTGGGCAGCAGCCGGGGCTGCACACACCTGTGGCCCCCGACCACCACACGTGTTGTGAGAACAGGTCTGCATCAAGTTAACTGTCTGTTTCCATTTGAAGGTTATGCTAATCTCTCTCTTGGCTGGAGGTGTTGGCCTAAATCTCACTGGAGGAAACCACCTTTTCCTTCTGGACATGCACTGGTAATGAATCTGGGCCTGTCCTGGGTTGTTAGAGCGTAGCTGGGAGACCAGCGTGCTAGACGGGCAGCGGGTCTGACTGCTTACGTCAAGTGTGTGCTTATGTTACGGAGTTGCCCCCGTCTACAGATATCTGAAATGCATCTCTAAGCAGGATGTAAGGGTAGTTGGCATTCCTAAATTCCTGAATGATCTTCAAATGACTGCTTACTTTGTTGTTAATTTAATGTTTCCATAGAACTGGGAACATAATTTTCCTCGGGCTAGGAGCTTATATTGTGCTGTTTTCCCTGTGCTCTAGAAACCATATTCCAGACATTTCTGTTGAGATCTAAAGAAAATTTATTTTTTCACATATAAATAATCTTTTATGTATTTATTTGGTAGAGTATTGACATGAAGCTCAGAGTTGTGATCCTCCTATCTCAGCCTCCCCAGTGTGGGGATTACAGGTGTGCACTACTGTGCCCTTTTTCTGTGGCTAGCTTGGCGTGGTTCTGGCACTGCATGCAGTTCTAGGGATCAAACCCAGGTCCTTGCACTTGCCAGGCAGGTGCTTAGACCACCGAGCTATCTCCTCAGCCCCAAGATCTAAAGAAACTTTAGTCTTAGAAGTATTACTCCAAAAAGAAAAGCAAAGGACTTTTTAATGTTAGAGATGTATTTAAAGGCCAGTGACATAGCTCAGTGGACTAAGAGCTTGCTTAGGTAAGCACAGAGACGAGGGTTCAATCCCTGGCACCGTATACCGCGCTGGCCCTGCCCCCAGGTACTCTGAGCCGGCGATGGAGTCCGGGCGTAGTGGCGCACGCCTGTAAGGAGGCAGAAATTAGGAGGATCACTACTGAGTCTGAGCTGTGTAGTGAGACCTTGCACAAAAACAAACAAACCCTTTAAAAAAAATTGAGAATTGTATTTAATGGGCCGCCTTTGAATTCATTGTATGGAATGCTACTGCCAGGAGCACGACAGTCTGTCGTGGGTGTGAGGTGGGCAGGTGGAAGGGCTCGCAGGAGAAAGTCTCGCGTAAGTTGTACCAGTTGCTGGTTTTCCATTTATGCCAGTCAAGGACTGCTGCACAAAGCATTCCTTCTGGGATTCCATATTTTTCAGGCAGCCCAGATTGCTACACACAGACCAAGCTGTTGTTACCTTCTTAGAGAACGTTTCGGTCTAACTTGGGCTTCTGCCATACACTTGGGGGCAAGGAAAGCATGATAGGAATTGGGCTGTTTTCTGAGATGGAGAAATGATATCCAGGACTTAAAGAGGTAGGATGAGAAGATGGAAATCCATAGTGGAGGGAACAAAGTAAGCTTCTGAGGTGAATGGTAGAATGTTAAGTTGAAAGAGACAAATGCCGAGAATCTTAGCCAGTTTCTAAGTAACAATCCGAAGCCCGAGGTCATCCAGCTGCCTACGACTGTGTTTGACTGTTGGTTTCACCTCATTGCTTCTAGCTCTCAACCAATAATAGTTCTAAGAGTTATTAGGAGTCTGCCAAAGCTTTTCACTAGAGAGCAGGACTGTATGGGCGCCTTTCTTGGGTCAAGGTAGCCTACAACCTAGGTAGACAGACCTCTGTAAGTATCTAAGGCTTTGGAGGGCTTTGTCACTTACTCTTGGAGAGTGTGTGTTTGTGTTGTGCTTTGTTTTTCTTAAGACCCTTTAAAAATGCAGCAACTATTTGTAGCTGGAGAAGTGTACAAAACCAGGCAATGGGCTGGATTTGGCCCTGGGCTACAGTTTGTCACTACATCTAGGATGGACCTTTTGTTTCTCTTCTAACAGGAATCCATCTCTGGAAGATCAAGCTTGTGACCGAATTTACCGAGTAGGGCAACAGAAAGATGTTGTCATACACAGGTAAGAAAGGTCCTCAGGGCCCTTTTATTCTTTTATGAAAGCCTTTCCTAGGTAGTGTTTTTAATAGGATGTGAAGTATTTGGTAACCACTCAGTAGTGATGCTCCTCGGGGATATCCTCGGGCATACGATAGCCTGGAAGGAAACAAGCAATTTGAGGCATCCATATACTTGGTTATAGCCAAGGAACCTTGTGTCTTTGCTTTTAATATTTATTGTGACATAATTTCAGACCTAAAGAAAAGTTTCAAGAGTACCGCAAAGTTCCTGTATGTGTGTGTGTGTGTGTGTGTGTGTGTGTGTGTGTTTGTGTGTATAAACTTTCTGAGAGAGTAAGTTGTAGACACAGTGCTCCTTTATTCCTAACTTAGTGTACATTTACTGCTACAAGGATTTTTCACTTACATATTCCACAATAAAATTATCAAAATCATGATATTAACATGAACGTAATACAACTGTCTGGTCGCAGACCTTACTCAGTTTCACGGTACGCTCCAGTGGTACCTTTGCAGCAGTAGAAAACCCAGATGCTAACAAGCAGCTGTCAGCGACTCTGCCTCTCCAGTCTGGCGCAGCATCCCAGTCTTTCTTGGTTTCCTCCCAGTCGGCCTTCTGAAGCGCACAGCTCGCTGTTTGGCAGTCTTTCTCTACTTGGGAGCCTCCCACCTGGACGGACAGCAGAACTGCCCTGCTGCTGCAGGCTGCTCTTGCTCTGCCCCTTCCTTTTCAGGACCAGCCGTCATGAAGGGTTTAGAGGTCACAGAGGTGTGTGTCACCTGTTTGTGTCACACTCTTTGCGCAGATTGGCTTGCATTGTCCACTTTAGCTACTTGGATAAGGGATCCTCAGGACTTCCAACATTTGCCAAACGCACTGAGGATGCCGATTTTACTCCCTAGGTCTCTTTTTGCTCATTCTGTATTTCCTTCTTTAAAAACTCTATAGTCACTCCAGTAAATCTACAGTCAGTGTCTTTATTTCCACCATCTCCTAACCTTGAGACAGGAACATCCCAGTCTTGCTAAATGTCTGAATCCGAGTGCTCACACTCATCCGTGTTCACTCACTGGTGCACTCAGCTCTGAAACAGACACCTGCTGAGCACGCACGATTAGCAAGTATCATTACACGTGTTCCAGGATCAGAATGCCACAGTGAAGTTGTGTCTTCCTCCCATGTTAAAATTGTTAATCCTCCTATATTCATTGTCTCTGAGAAGTATCTCTGTTTCTCCAATCCTGTAGCTGGAAGCTGGGCTCTTTCCTCTTGTTGCTTTTCACTGAGACCTCTAGTGCTTTCTAGACCTTCTGGTCGCCGTCCTCCACCCGGCGCTGCTGCTGCTGCCTCCCTTGTTCCAGCCCCTGCTCATTCTTGTTCCCTGCGTTACCACCTGAGGGCTGTCCTTCAGTAGTCAGTCTGGTTGTGAGGTTCCCCTCGCTTTTCAGTGGATTTATTCTCTAGAGATCCTGTCTCAGCATCCTAGCCTGCCAGGTACAGCGCCTCGCGATCTGGCTGCCCCAGCCCCGTGAGCTTTTGCCACTGTGCGGGCGGACCGGGTGCCATGATCTTCCTGCAGTTCTGCATCCCTGGGGTGCCCTCCCAGCTGGCAGTGCCTTGCTTATCCTACAAGTCACACATGGAGAATTAACCCTTTCGTGGCTACTTCCCTGAGCACCCTGCAAACATATTCTCTCTCCTGGCCATGCCTCCGAGGTTGCACTTAACTAGGTTATATTGCTGCTGTTGTTGGGTTTTCGTGGCTCTGCTGTGTTCGCTTTCAGAATGAAACCATGTTCATCTTTAACCTCCCAATACCCAACGTACCACATGCTGTATAGCAAGGGTTTAATACTTGTTGAGTTACATTAAACCTTGTTATTAGTATGTCTTTGTAGTACACAATGTCTACACTCCTTCTGGGGAGTTGATATCTTAACTGTCTTCACTATTTTCTCTCACTTCCCTTCATCTCTCCATCCCCTTCCCATTTGAGGAAGATCCGTCTTCCTACTATCTTTTCTTTTGTTCTTTATTTCTGTGTTACATTTCTCATAGAAGAAAAACCATGTAATATTTAAGCTCATGTGTCTGATTTATTTCACTTAATGTCATGGTCTCAAGGTTATAGCCATTTCTGATGAATGTTTGAAAAATGCAGTTGAAAGATGGCAGCAGTGTACATCCTTAGTTTGAAAAGCTGCTCTGTGTGTGACCCAGCCAAGCAGTGAGGCCCTGTGTGTGAAGTGGCACAAGTGTACCTGACAGAAGCTTCGTCTTTATCAAGAGTGGAGCTTTGGGGAGGAAAGCTGCATGTCTGTAGTTTTTCTAGTAGGGATATCTGCTGCTTATTTGAGGCTTTCTTAATTATACTAGCTTCAGACTGAAAGAAAAAGTCAATCTGATTCACACATTTTAAATGAACATATATTCAGCGAATGTTATTTGGATCTCCTGAACAGAGTTCTTAACTGAGAGAAAACTTAAGAGGAAGGTATTGCATCGATAATAAAAGTATGATAGAAGCTTGAGCATGCTATTAGACCAGCTGCTTTGGGTTTCTGACAGCTTTCTTACTTATTTTTCAGATTTATTTGTGAGGGGACAGTGGAAGAAAAGATCTTGGAGCTTCAAGAAAGAAAGAAAGACTTAGCCCAACAGGTTCTGTCAGGATCTGGAGACTCTTTCACCAAGCTCACCTTGGCTGACCTCAAAGTCCTTTTTGGCATCTAATGTCCTGCCGGTAGGTGCGGAACTGCGCTGGTGTGAGCTAGGATCTGGGAGAAACGCCCCAGCTGTGACTGCTGGGCTCTGTTCTTCCTTCCTGTTTCACCTACCACATACTTGCTCCTCCAAAGGAGGCATGATCTTATCTCTAGAAGTGAGGACGGGTAATTATGTTAAACATTTGGTTAATCAATTATGGTAATCAGCTTGCTTTGAGCAACACAGAAACCAGTGAGTTGTTTCAGTTAGATGCAGTCAGACAGCTCTGGCAAAACCACACATCAGCTTCAGCAAAGCTCAGAAAGCCCTGCGCTGCCTTTCTTGGCTTAGCTGGTCTGAGAACCCCTGTTACCGTCCCCTCTGACATAGGCTCCTGTCCTCCCTGCCTCTTCGTGGTCCTGTAAGCACCCGGGGCTGAGCAGCGCAGCTTGCAGGCCAGCCGGTCCTCTGCAGCTGTCTCCCAGGCAGTTTTCCTTTCCGTCTTAAGGTCAAGGAGATGCTGTGTGTGTAAACAGATGCTGAGCACCGTATCATTACTTCCTTTACTATCAGTGTGTCATTTAGGGTTTGCATCTCTGTGTCATTTAGTAGTGTATCAGCAGCATATCACGTAGTACATCAGTGTGAATATCATGTAATCACTGTATCATTTAATATCTGTACCATGTATCACAGTATTTCCATCATATCAGTATTTGGTACCATGTTACTGTTTTACTATATTTTAGTTATTGGTAGGATTTAGTATTATGTCATTTAGAATTTGTTGAATCATTTGGTATTTGTATAGTTAATAAACATGCATTTGATATTGTTGCTGAGATAATGCGATGTGTTCACCAAACCCATTTCTTTCTCCTGTGGCCACCCCGAGGGACGACACATCATCAGCTTCACCGTAGCAGACATACCTGTTAACCTAGTTCTAATTAGTGGAAAGTGAAGAGAAGTCAGGCTTTTCTAGACTGTTCTCTACCACTTTTCAAGTGATTCTTCACAGTTTCTTCCCTCTTAACCCTGCTGGATCCAAGAACGACTGGGAAATGACACGGCCTTAGAGGAATGGTGAAGCTGTCATTTCTTGGGTTCATAACCTAAGTTTGGCCATAGATTCTTTTGTCAAACCTGGTCCGAGTGAGTGAAACAGCCTTTCCCGAGGCACTTCTGTACTCGGCTCGCCTGCACTGGACTATGGCATGATCATGAGACCAGTTTTTTAAGCCACAGAGATTCAGGGGTTGTTAGTATTAGCAGCTTCTCTCCTAATACAAACAGTTGAGACTTTTATTCTTCAGAAAATTAACAAGTTTCCCCTTCTGATCAATATTATCCCCAAACTTACTCTGCTGATTTCTGCTATAAATAATACTTCTTCCTAGAAACGTTTCTTCCTTTGAGTTGAGTAAAGAGACAAAGCCATTAACCCAGGTACAGACTGATTCCCTGAGGTCAGGCAAAGGTTCGCTGTAAGGACAAGATCTCAAGGCTTACAAAGGCAGTGACAGTGTAGCCTGCTGAGAACGTCAACATGGCTATAATTTACACACTCACCTTAGTTGGGTGCATAACCCAACTACTGATTTTTGGACCAAATCCGTAAGTTCTCTGTTTTGGTTTCTTCATTTGTAAGGTGGGCATATTTTCAGAATTTAACAGCTAAAAGGAGGTCCCTGATAAAATGAGGAAATGCAAACAGTAAGACAACCCTTTTGGAGTTACCAGATCAACGTGCTAAAGGACAGTCACCTAAGAACGAATGGCTCCCAGGTGCGCAGCAGTGTTCGAACTTGGCTCCTCCACTAGCTACATTAGTCGAGGTCCAGGTTAGGTGGGCACGGCAGCCTCCCACCTCTAAGGCGCCAGACTAGTGCACATGTTCCCCTGGGAATTGAATAACAACTATACCTACTGTAACTTGTTTCACCAAATAGTAATGTCAATCAGAAGGGTGTGAGATGAATATTGCTAGTGTACATTTCAAGAGCTCTTGGGAAAAATTCTTAGACTGTAGGCTGTCCCTCCTGATATCTTAAACACTTTCTCTAATTTTCTTTGTTGCGATGGTAAGCTGGCAAAGCCACCGATTATGTCCAGGTGTTCTGGAACAGTGAGATGGTGCTGATATGTTGAGGCTATAGAAAAGGCAGGAAGCACGGTCCCAAAAGGATGGCCTGTACCCAGCAAGCATTCTTAAGTCCTTGTCCTCAGATGGAAATGTTTCGGACTAATGTAACTGGCAGGGCGATATCTCGTGTCCATTTTAGTGGCTGCAAGTCAGTTTCTTAAGGTCTGCACAGGACAGGGTGTCTCGGTAACTTCTAGCGATGGGCAGCAACCCACAATGTAGTGACGTAATTGAGGTGCTGCACAGTGTCAGCGAGCTTGCCTCTGTGTGGTAACCACGACTGCTGGGCTCGCTTTTGACGTGCGCCTGCCTCAGCGGACTTGGGTCTGAATGACCTGGGGTAACACATGCTTTACAAACAGTGAGATGCGTACGAGTACTAGTGATACTTCTGTGGAAGAAGGTCTGGGAATATGCGGACAGAGCATGGGCGCAGCTGACAGAACCACATGGTGGATGTCTGTCCTCAAGATCCAAGCAGCACATTTACAAAGAATTTCTAATGGGACGGAATTTCCTTCATGGAAGGTCTGTATAGTTTGATTCTTTAGCTCTGTAACTCAAACAAGCATCATCAGTCCTAGACCCTTTAAAAACTGCTTCCAGCCAGGAATATCTGCTCATGCTTGTCATCCCATTGCTCAGGAGGCTGAGGCAGGAGTGTCACAGGTGTGAGGGCAGCCTGGGCTACGTAGGAACTTCAAAACCAGCCTGAACTGTACAGCAAGAGGATGAAGACCACATCCAGGCCTCCTGCTGTCACGCAATCACCGGAAACATCAGAAGGCAGGATTACGCATTTATGGGACAGGACTTACCTCTAACAGCTGTGTGATTTACTCTGGCTGTTTATGAACACGGCGTTTCCTTTGGTTATTGTTTGCTCAACGAGATGACTTTTAGCAGGGCCCCAAGGTGAAGCCAGATTCTTCTGCACTAATAGGATAACCATGGGGCCACAAGTATTTGGTTTAATCTCTCGGGCTATCTGAAATTTATTTACCCAATACCTTGATCAGATTGGATTTATGAAGTGGGATGTTGTACTGCTATTGGTTACGTAGCATGTAGCCCTAGGAGACTACAGAAAAAAAACAAGAAGCATGCCTGTGGGCACAGAGAAGATTATAATAGTCTTCCGGGTCCAGGCACTTGGCAGCTGTGGTTTACAGTGCAGTTATGGCCAAGTCCAAGAACCACACCATGCACAACCAGTCCCCAAAATGCCACAAAAATAGCATCAAGAAACCTCGGTCACAAAGATACGAATCTCTGAAGGGGTAGATCCCAAGTTCCTTAGGAACATGCATTTTGCCAAGAAGCACAACAAAAAGGGCTTTAAAAAGATGCAAGCAAACAATGCCAAGGCCATGGATATACGCGCCGAGGCTGTCAAGGCCCTCATCAAGCCCAAGGAGGTCAAGCCCAAGATCATCCCAAAGGGAATAAACCGCAGGCTCGCTTGACTGGCCTATATTGCCCACCCCAAGCCTGGGAAGCGTATCCGTGCCTGCATTGTCAAGGGTCACAGGCCTTGTTGGCCAAAGGCCCAGGCTCCAGCCAAGGCCGAGGCTCCAGCTTCTGCTCCAGCCCAGGCTTCCAGAGGTGCCCAGGCCCCTGTGAAGATTCCACAGTAAAAGCCTCTTATTTGCTAAAATAAAAACAGAAGGACTGGTGTGACCCCTGGGGTGCCATCTGTTGGGGGGGGGCAGTGTCTTCCTGT